CCGGTGAGTTGGGGGGGGGGTAGGTAGCTCTGCAATGCAGGCGGGAGCTGATAAATTGGTGCACAAATCCAGCATTGAAGGCAATAGCTTTGATGCACGAGCGCCATTGAGGGCGTGCCTGGGCCATATCTGACAATGTCTTTAGCCATTGATGTGGCCGGTCTCGAGGTCCCCATCCAGGAAGACGGCTTTCACACTTCGCTGCCAAGTCATTTTTTGACCGCCTCTGGCTCTCTTCCACCCTTCACGTGGTTGTGCGAAAAGAGCCCATCGAGGAAGTTGGTCGACTGGCATACGCAACACGTGGCCAAGCCAGCACAACCTGTGCGGTGTGATTAGTTCATCTATCTAGGGTGAGTTATTTCTCCCGAATACCATTCGACTTGCTGAGTGCTCTGTATAGTCCCGCGAAATAGAAGAAAATCAACACAAGTATTGAAATATAGTTGGGAGGAGCAACCTGATACTCATTTTACTACTGTTGTATGGTAGACGACAAATTCTGGTAGCTTGGACACATCACTGTTCGATACCAATCAAATGACCAGAAGTTTGAGTTAAACTGTGTAGCTCACCGGCCTCAATTTACACTAAGACCTACTTGGAGGAGGAGGAGGACCGGGTCTTTGCTGGAGGTCCGGCGACAGATTCCCTCTGGCTGCAATCACAACTCTTCCCGACGCATCATCCGGCGCCAGGTGAAGCTGGCGTGAGAAGCTTCGTGGACTCGAAATACCAAAGAAATCGATGATCCAAAGAGTGCTAGAAATGTCCGCAAGCCGTTCCACTTGAATCAACTTCGACTGGTCTTCGGAAACTTCTTATCGGTGAAATAATCAGAGACCAAAATGACTCTCTGATATGCAACAAAGCACAACGTGTAGGCTACTGGGCACAGCATTTTGAACATCAATTCATCTGGCCACCTGCCACTTCGAATCCAGAATCCAGAAGGATGGACCGTGAGCATAGAGCTGCTTTCAATCTCAGAAGTGTCCGAATGAATTTCTCTACCTAAACATCATCGTGCTGCTGGTCCACTCACGTGCTCTTTTCAAGAATGACAGTGGGCTCTTGAGTCAGTGCCTGTTTAGCCTTTTAGGGTCTACCTGGGAAAAAAGACCGTCCAAGACAACTGGGGTGAATTGATTTTCAGAAACAGTACTCGTAGTGAATGTAACCACAGAGGTGTTATTTTGACTCCTGTTGTGACTAGGCTCCTGGCGTCACTGATTCCTCGTCGTTTTACGGTAGCATGCGAAACATTGACTCGTAAGAACCAAGCGGTATTTCGACCGGGCGCAGGCTGTGTTAACCATGTCTTCACACTCCGTCAGGTGTTAAAGCAACGCCTTATGCACAAACGACCCACAATCTTGGTATTTCTTGACTTCGAGAGTGCGTTCGATTCTGTCGATCGGTCAGTGTTGTTAGCTGCACTTGCTTCACAGGGTATACCCAAGAAGTTTGTGAACATACATACATCAATCGGCCAAATTTGTTTCCCACAGTTGTGGCGTCTGTTTCAAGCAGTCAGACTACATATGTCCCTGCTGTGGAATTCATCACTGCTCACTAACTTGCTACCATATTGAGGAGCACAACCAATATTCAGGAGCGTTTTATCGCGACCGCTGTATCGATTCGATGCGGAGCCGCTTCTCAAACGCCAACAGCCGCAGTCGCATGTTGGATATACTCCGTCGCGAGGCTGGTGCATCTAAAACCATTTATCGCGACACCGATGACTCACGCGTCTCTAACGGTCCGGAAGACAACGAATTTATTGAGTCGGAAGTTGGAGGTGATGATCGGGACCCATGCGAGCGGTGCGTTTCCACAGGACATCTCATTGTAATAACTCAGTTTCGCAAGTTCGGCTTCAGTGTATACCGACATCTACAGTTAGCTCTCAATGTTGAATTCATCAGTTCCCGAAGCTTTTCGTTGTTCGCATAAATATATTTACCTATTATTTCAATTGCTTTGACTTGGGAGAGATGGTTCAGTTGGTTAAAGAATGTAAACATCTAGCGGTTTTTTTTTCAGAACAACTACTTTCCCTTTCGATGATAGCATATTTCTGCTTCAAAGCGTGTCTGCTTTTAATGCTTAAATTTTTATTTCAGCCGCTAATCAATGGTTCGCGTCTCGACTGCGCTTTGTTGGAACCTGTACTTCTTCATTCGAAGTCGTAGTTTCTTGTCAGTGACTGGTGCTTCCGCAGCGCTACGTCACTTTTCCGTTTACTCAAAGCCTACTGAATTGCAATGTATGCAAGAACATTACCTGGATATGTGCAAGCGATGTGAAGGTGAGTTCAAGAAAATACAGGGTATCTTCGTGGTGTCTGATATAGCTGACAGGTTCGCGAGTTATTTCGCAACGTTTTTACCCCGTTGTTCTGGTAATAGCTCTTCCGGCCCCTGATTAGGCATAATGAACATTGTAGGGTATCACTGTCCCCGAATCGATATACAGCAGTCCTCATTGAATGTTAAGCAGCATGCTCCATTTTATAATTGTACATACACGGATTATTTACTATTATTATTATTGTTATAATCAGTATTTTATTTACGTACACGGATAACCCCTTCAGACTGTTAGGAGCATGATCGGTTTCATCAGTTGACGGTTCCATTTAGTTTTTCATCTCGGCTCCTACTATTGACTTCTTTGATATGGTTGTCTGTGCACCTTTTGTTTTCCAAACCCTTGCAACTTTATAATCAACTATTGTGTGAACGTAACACATTACTCATAAAGTTTCTGAAAACTCTTCAGTAGTCAACGATCAGTATCGCCCTTCTTATGGCTTTTTTGGGAGGGGCACTCCGTGTTTCGTTTACCTTTAGTTCTAATTAAACCCAAATTGGAAAGATTTCGACAACTACTCTAATTTTCACACAGCCCAACTGAATCCGGCTGAATTTCTCATCATAAATTAGAAATTCAGCTGGATTCAGTGGAGTCTTCCGTCAAAACCAAATTCGTTTTCATTTGAGAGTATTTGTCGGTAATTGGCCGTTTTTTGTGTTGTTTCGTTCAACTCATGTAATCTTCAACTTTCTCTCTTTTTGCTTCCGACAGATGGTCAGCTTTGTTTGTTATCCGTTTTACCGTTAAACCTGTTGACTTAGAGATGCCAACCGACGTCAGTAATAGATGGATGTGTACTGTTTTATGGTGTTCTTTACATCACTTTTCCCCGTTAGTTTCCTCGTAGATGAGTTTATATCAGCAACAGTTTTTCTCACACTGACAATTTCCCCTGAGTGCATGAATTATCCGTGCTAAATCTAATCAATGGGCCACTTTACTGATGCTTTTGTTTGTTCGAGGGTAGCTCTGCTTCGGTTTGTTCACCTCTGATGTTTTTGAGCCTGATGTTGCACACTTTAGTCTGGGCTTTGAACGTTGGTCAATGGCCTCCAATTTTATCACCCATGTTGGTGCTTGCAGCTCTTGTTCTCGTTTGCTGAATAAATAGGTGGTAGCAGTTCACTGACGCTGTAGATTTTATGCTTCACGATTTGGGTTAGCTTCAGAGGTTAAGCAGTTAGTGATTGGTGGAAAGGTACCCAATTTTTATTACTCTTGTCAAGATTTAGGCAACTTGGCAGCTCACATGACAGCTATCCGCCGGAAAGCTCTCTCAGTTGAAGAGCCAAGTCAAGTCAAGCCAACTGAATGGCCTTTTCATCCTAACTGGAAATCTTCCTCGGGTCACCCCTCACATATCTCGATAGAAATTAACCTGGAGTCACATGGACTGCCACAACCTAAACAGTCACTTAAGGGCTAGAGATCCAAGTTGTGTATCCGTTTTTGTTGGGGCGAGACGGCCCAAGTGGTTAGAGCGCGAATTTACTGACCGGAAGTACGTGGTTGTGGTTAGAGCGCGAATTTACTGACCGGAATGTACGTGGTTCGAACCCGACCTCTGCCTCTCGGCTTCGCCTGTCTAGGCTTGGGCGACCTGATAGTATCCCAGCCCTTGGGCGACCTGATAGTATCCCAGCCCTCGTGCAACCTTCGGGTAGCATGGCAGTTAGGCACCGAATGGATGCCACAGCTGAACGAACGACATTCTGGAATGATGTGAAGCATTAGATCAAATCAAGTGATAAATGGTATCAGCCGGGTTTGGAACAGTTCACTTTTCACAACATTGAATGATCCGCTCATTTGAGCGACTCTCTGAGTGCTCCTATGGTTGCCGATTTCAGTATCAATGAGGGAATAGTTGTTCCGAAATTTCGGCTTTTTCTGGCAACCGGTGAAACTATCATAGATCCCATCAGTAAAGCAGATATCTGTCATTCCGACGATGTGGTTCATTATGTGCCATTGCGCATCGTTTACTAATAGCCGGGCTCTACGAGGTAGGCGGTGCTCTGGTTTACGGAGTAAATATCCCGACCAGGGTAGCCTATGAGGCGTGTGCAACTCACCAAACGTGGAAAAGTTCATTTTTCCTAAAAGCCTCTGGCGTAATCCAATGTTCCTACCAGACCCGACCAATGCTTCGGAGGCACCTATGGTCGAACACGGACAACCTCCGTTTGTTCTCTGCGCGTAGAGGCCACGTATCAGATCCATGAAGCAGTATGGATGGGGATGCTGCAGTGTAACCTCTTCCGTTGATAGACATGAGAGTGGTTTTGTTTGCGGCAGCGATAGCGCGCAGAATGAAAGGGGACGTTAGACGCAGAAACCAAATGAAAACAAAGGAATATTGAGCTAGTGGTAAAAAATAACACCTGGTATTGTGGCATCACCTTTTTGGAAACTACTTCCAATCGTTGATTTGACAAGTCTTTGACACGACGGTGAACTTCCACTGGCCAAGCCAAGCCCCATTGTTATGCTTCCATGCTTCTTCAGGTCATGCGTTTACCTCATGGCTTCTGCCAGTCGGAGCCCGCCCCCGACGAACAGAGCACGGCGAGGCGATCAATCGCCTGATCTGTGAACCATATAACCAAGCTAGCGTAGTTGGTAGGGCCAAGTTAAGTCATCGATTGTATAGGCATCTTATTTGCTGCCGAGATTCATTAGTCACACTTCATATGCTAACCTGGCGTTACCACGACACAATTTCAATACTTCGAAGGCAGTGGTAGTCAAACACTAGTGATCTTTATCTTCGACGGACAATCGACAGGTTTCACACGCAGTGCCTCATTGCAGATCTTACCGGCGCCGACTCCAACAGTGATTAAGTTGAAGGAGAGTGAAACGAACTTTGTCGGCTTCGTTACTCACTCTGTCAGCAATGATGTCACTAGGCTTAAGCCTCCTACCCAGATAATTAAATTTGTCCATCGTCCGTAGTGTTTTTAATGCCATGACCAGCTTGGTGGCGCACTCGCCAATCTTGCAACGGCGGTTCGAGACACGTGCCAAGTCGCATGACGACGTTATTTAGATTAGGGTGCTACAACTGAACGATTTTTTCTCCAAGAAGAATTTCCATATCGAAAGTGGTAGACATAGCGAGGCTTCGTTCGACGGGTGGTTCGATTGTGAAGTTGAAAAGGAAAGATGAAAGTGTTGGTTAACATCGCCTACTTGCATATACGCCACCCAACCGTTGGTCTATTGGTGGAAAGACAGCATTTCTGCCTCTGCAATTATTGAAATTCTGGCCTCCTGGATGTAAAGCCTGTTTTGTCTTCGGTCTTCCATTACGAGGAACAGCCCAAATTTTTAACAACTCACAACAGGGACTTGCTGCCTTTAGGCTGCTTCCGTTTGGCATTTATAGCATGATTGTGCCGTGCGGAACGAAGCTTGAGCCAGTGTAGTTCATCAGAGGCATTACTGCACTCCTTCTGACTTCCACTCTATCGAACGGTGTATTTTTTATACACGAATGGTGTTAACATGGTCATTTCAATTGATTTCGACTAGACGGTACACACAACATGTTTTAGGCGATAAAACCCAACGGATCCAAGTGGTCGCAGAAGTCAAGTGACTAGATCATCTCCGCTTATCCATCAACCATGGAAGTTTTCCCCACCAACTGAGCTAACAAATCCCTAATGGCGAATCGATTTTTCCCAATCGACCCAAACTGTTACATCAGTGGTCATCTTGTAGTAGTCTCAGCAAGATACACGCTCACTGAACGAATGATGCTGTCTTTGTGTAGCTATTTTCGGATGAATTCCCGGCTAGCGAGCACGAAGAGAAGGATTCCTAAAGGCCTATGAGTGGTTTTGTTGGTTTGTCTACTGAATGTCCCGAACTTTCTGGCGGTTTGAACGGATGAAGGACCGTCACTGACGGCACATCTCCTACCTTTTAAAATAGTCGGAGCGATGTGGCTGTGGTGTTTCGGGTTTTAAAGTACGTTTTTACTCTTACGTTTTCGTTTCTGAAATGACGTACGCAAACTATCGGGATGGGTGCAGTAACCAATTTCGGAGCACCCTTCTACGATTCCACGGAGGACTTGATGTCTACAGCCCTACGTAATCTCTCAACAGCACAAGTACCGAGGGTAATGTAAACACAACAAAATTTACGATTATCGTTCCATACCTGTGGTGGATATGACCATACGTAACACTACGAGAGATCTTAGTCACTTCACCGTAGAATTCTATTTAGTTGTTTTGGCTGTTATTCACGTATCTTTACAGTGCACTACAGGGTCCTTTATTCGAACTTTTCCACTTGAAGGTAATGTATATCCTTTCTATTTCTTCGCAGTGAAAATTATTTTGATAAGAGTTGGTTCTTAAGGTATTTTCCTTTGGTTGTGCTATTTGTTCGGTGCATGTCAAGTGAGATACCAACTAAGGCTGATTCAGCTTGTGGATCTTGTTACAGCGATCGTCGACTAATTTGCATAATCCGACCACTCCTAAGTAGTCAAGATACCTTGTCTGATTGATCGCCGATCCTCTCGAAGGATCTGGTGATTGCCGCATCGTGGGCATCGTGCTTAAGGTAACTGTGTGATCACATCCCGAAAGGCTCAGCCACAAAATTGCTTTTATTCCATTCTTTAATCGTGGGACGGGTACTAGGGGTCGAACTCGACTTTGGTTAACAGTTCCGGACTGCTTCTATCCAGACTACCGCCTACCAGTTTGCGCAGCTGTTGAACTTGATTTTAGGTATGAATCTACCAGTTGTTGATCAGTCCGAACTGTGAATGTGCAGTGAGTGTTGCGTTCGGTCGATATAAAAATTAGGACGTGCACGTTCGATTCTATGCTGTGACGTGTAGATTCGAGCAGTAGTCGAATCCGGTAGCCCCATATTTCACTTAATATCCAGTGGTCTGGTTAGCGTATAGTTATACATTCTCTCTGGCTCTTAAACGAATAATTATGTTCCCCTGGTCATTTGAGCCTGATTATGTTGGAAAGCCGAATGCTTGCCTCAGCTAGTCTTTTCATCATCCTACCAGTGAAATGGGACTCTTCAACAGACGTTTCGTCCTTTAGGTGAAGCGAACCTATACTGGAAAGCTGAGCAACACTGCTCAGCTGTTTCACCAGCCTCCATGGAGATTCGTGACATACGTATTGCTGAGGATTCCCGCTGAGGATGAAGCAGCCGCGCATCTCTTTTCGGCCTTTCAGCATAGAGATACTTGACTTACAAGATGAAATCTCCACTGGAAATTCCAAAACCTCTTCATATTAACAACAATTAGTATTCTGACAGTGAAACTCCTACTCGGAAGGGACGTTATTATGACATGTTTTATGGGTTACTAAGGGGCAACGTTGATGTGCACCCAAATCTTGTTTTAATGACACAAATACCAGATTGGGTGGTGAATTCATAAGGAGCAAACGCTATGACCAATGATGGAATTTATGTGTATTTCACCATCTGACTATCTCAAAACGGGTAAAGACGAGATGTAGCGTCACCCAGCCTGCAATTATACAAATTACGTCACCTGTTTCGGTGTTGACCGGTTTCTCAAGCGACAATTTCCCATGCGGCTTTTGGACAAGTAAATCGCGACACTGATACGTGTGGAGTTTGTCTTGATGTACCATTTTCGCTTGACGTGTTGTCCGGACGCGGTACTTGAAACGGTCGTGATAACAGCACACGTTCAAAACACTGGAATTTATTGATGCGAGTTTGCCAGGGAAGCGTGATCTAGAACCGAGCCGCTTAATGGATCTTGTTAAAGTACTGATGCACATATGTAGTTTCAACATGCACGCAAAGTGAGCGGAAAAAGTGCTCCTCTTCAAATTTTACCCAAAACTTTTACCGCCAGAGTTCAATAGCCGCTGCAATCTTGGTTCAGTGCTTTTACTTGTTGATTTGATCGATGTTGGTTCCTTTCGAAGTTTTTCTTCCCCTACCATCGTTTTTCTCCACCCAACTACCTAGTGCGAGCAGTCGAACTGACACAAGTTGACCCGAATGCCGTGTTTGTCAATAACGAAGTGAAACTGAGCAATCTACAGATATTCGGATTTGACTTTGACCACACCTTGGCCACGTACACGAAGTCACTGGATGAATTTATTTTCAACGAAGCGCGTGATTGGATGGTTAAGCAATTGAAGGTAAGCTATCGGTTGCTCAGCTGATCGAAACTTTTTTTAAAAGTTGGCAATTCCATTGATGCAGTATGCAATGAATGGGGCCGTGAATCTGTTTCTAAAAAACCATTTTCGTAAATTATTTGCAAGTGAGACACTGTCTGCCAATGTGTTTTCTCATCAAACCGCAGTAGTTTATATCGTGGCTGAATTCGTAGGGTAACTTCTAAACTGGTTGTGGCTAATCTGTTTTTTACCCCTGACCTAGAGCTGTCACGTTATCGTGGTGCTCGTGGTGTTACAATGCTCCTGCGGGTTGCACTTACTGGGACGTCGTTCTTCAAAGGAAGATCAAAAGGATCAATCAATCAAAGAGTGGTGAGCCTTCATTGGCTTAATCGTATTCCAAGCCGACCCGTGGGGCAAACTCGTGCTGTTCTCTGCGAGAAGCGTGTAAAAATGCAGTGAGGTGTTTCTTTCAGCTTACTGGCGTTTGGATATTCACGATGACAGCTACGCTGGCTTTTCCTGGAGTAAGGACAAATCAGAAAACGTTGTCTCTTCGCATATCCCGACTGCGCGACGATATCCGCTTGCAATACGTTCGAATTGATTCAAACAACCAAGATTGGTTCTCTCCAAAAATCATCTGCTGTATGGAGCACATTTAGGGGTCACACGTCCTTACATTACTTCGTTGACTATCGAGCTAGGTAAGTCCTCCACAGTCAAGTGGCTCGGACTTTTTGGCTGCTGCCCCTCCCCTCAGGAAACCCTATCACCTGCTGCCCCGCGGGCCAGTGTTTCGAGTCTAGAGCGCTGGATGAGGTTCCTCAATCTCTTTGTAGCACATAAACAACCGCGATGAAAATTTCCACCTTGTCGTTTTTCACCTCTTTCTGCTGCTACCCGAATTTCTATCCGAAGGCCCAGTTAACCATCCTCCCACATGGCTGGTTTCAACACCCTCATCTTCAAACCCATCGATCAGTTAGCTTCTCGGACAGACACGCTATCCGAAATTTGGCCATGTCATTCCAGCACTGTCATCATTTCGAATACGTTTACAGAGTGTACTTTAGTTCATCATCATCATCTGAAAGTCCTCGGCGAACGAAGATAAGCCGGACTCGAAATCTTTCTCCCTTCCAGTATCGGTTAATGTTTCACCAGAAAGCCATCCAGAATCTGGTGGAGATGACCCGCTAGATCCGCCACGTCAAAGAACGGATTATTCTACTTGAATTCCGCAGACATGGACGCTCAATCTCTCAAGGGAAAAGCAACTGGTTAGTGTGCTTAGTTCCCACCTACAGACCGCTCCACTTGTGTGTCCGCGCAATCTGCCTCTGGCCAGCACGGCATCCCAATTTAATGTTTTTACTGCGTCTCTTGAAGTCAACTGTCTCGTATTGAACCAAAGTCACGAACAGAAATCATCACAACAAACTACAGGTGGCGGAGGAACGTAAAAGAGTGTGGCTCGTTTTGGGATGACCACTCGGTTGTTCGGATGTGGTCAGCCGTCGCATGGCAAACCAGAAAATGACGATCAAATTTTCTTAGTTCTGATCACGTTACGGTTGTTCTCAGAACGTTCAAAAGCATCCGATATGTGAGTGGGGATCCTTCTTGGGCATATAAATATCTGTTTTTTTTCTGCTATCGATGCAGAAGCCAAGTATGAATTGATTCAGCTCCACCGGCTCGATTTCACGTGGAGGTTTGGCTGTCGGACTTTGCTTGTATGCCTCGAGGGTGCAGAAGCGCACTTCTGTGTGGACCTTTGTTGTAAATTCCCTACCTCATTGCCGCTGCCTCTTGTCGTATAGTACAGCTTTCCAAGGAGTGACACAGTAGAGCAGCACTGTCACGAGTTCGTGGAATTTTATACGATCAGTTTGTCCTGCATGAATCGTCTTTTCGTTCGAGACGGTAACCACTGTTCACCTAGCCAAGTGCAAATCTCAAGTTGGAAAAAGGAGAGATTGCTCTGTTCAGGACTCCTGTCCTGGCGCAATTATCTGGTGAGTCCACATGATTCAAGTTCCGCTCCTGTTGATGCGCACCAACCAGAACCTCTACTCTATGTGTCTGATACCTGAGTGGATTTTCGCCTCTGAACAGAAATACCTGTTTGCGCTTGAGTGGTGTGTGGTGATCCCTGTTATCCAACCGGACATATTCGAGATGGAAGTATTTGTTATGCTGGATCAACTTTAGAAGAATCTCATTGACAAGGTTGACTTTTCCATGAATAAGTCGAGATGTTCGTGCATTACACATGCCTATACTAGGTGTCGGTGCTCGCAGTGGTAAAATGTTGTTTCCGTCTGGCCCACGCTTGAGGGTTAAAAGAGTCACGGATTCGAAAGGCTGCTAATATGTTACATGTTTTTTGTCCGTACTAGTGGACACAACGGTGAACGTCATCTTTCCTCTAGGATAGTAGAGAACTTTAGTTATGTGGGGGTGGAACAATATCTTTTAGGTCTGCAGGTAACCTACCTACACTTCTACGAGTTAGCTCAGTGGTTACGGTACGAACTTCGGACCCAACGCTGGTATCTCTACTGTTCCTGTCTTGGCTTGGGCCACCTGGTAATATCTTGGATTTCGTGCTTCCTTCAGGTGTCATGGCAGCTGGGAACCTAGAGTTTGTCACAGCTGAACAATTATTATTGTTATTTTATAACTTGTGCATAATCCAACCGTCAAAACAGATTGTGGAATGTTCACTTGCATACTTGCCTCAGAGAAGGATAATTACTGACACGACGGGGTCACTAATAAATCATCTGATGCCCTATGTTTGGTCCTAATATACCGTATGTTGCGGATCTACAATGACCAAATTTTGTCGCTCTTTTCCTGGAGAGTTAATCTCTGGTAGTCAAGCTGCCCAATACGGTAACTATACAGTGCTCACGGGTTTACTCGAAAAGTAGTTACGACTCTCCTTTTAAGCTAAGTCGCACAAGTGAAAGATGGACACTCGTAGACAAAAGCCTGTTGTTTTGGTTCCCAAATAACGGAATATCCAATAACATGTGAACTGGGTTGATAAGAACACTACATCTGGTGACGTGTGCGGCAATCCTACAAAGAGACGAATTTTCAGTGTCACTCTGTTAGTAACAAAATGTTGGTTCCATTATGGCAACATCTCTGGCCTGTACGAAATCAGACACCCGTGGTTCTATATGGTAAAGCCACTGAAGACATAAGCCAAAATGGGTGGGTGGCAAGTCAAACTACAGCCCATCAGTTGTCGCTCAGTAAGAAATGCACACTGTGGAACGTACTCCCTCCATCCGAGGTTAATATATATGTCGAATTTGCACATGTACACGTGCTTTGGCACCTGTGGTTTTCCACTGATCGAATATGATGAGAACCCTTGAACTCACCGGTTTGTTCGAAGTTCCTCTGCGTCTTAAACCCGTGGAAAAACCATGGATCATGTACTTTGAGAGGAATCGTTTGATGGGTTTGCCTTTTAGAGCGCCATCTCACCCTTGATTTTGACCTCGATTTATGGAATACCTCGAGTTCATTGGAACTGCGGGAAAAATAACTTTAAAACACATCAAAAGAGGACCTGCTTCGCCAAGGAAATCAATGTAACTGATTTTGAGGGTCATGAACCAGACCAATTTTAACATCACAATACTCTTTCTGGAATTAGGTATCTGCATGTGAGAACGTTGGTCGTAATAACGTTGCGTTTATCTATAATTAGTACCGCGCGAGAACTTTTGAGAAAATGTGTAGTCTCCGATCCATTAGCTCTCAACACAATCCTCCAAAGAACGGGATTCGCATACTCGGACTGCAAAACGAAAAAGATCCACCCATATTATGTCTCCGGAAAAGGAAACTAGTCTTTCTGATTTTGTTACCGCGTGTTTACATCTAGTCGTAAATTATTACTCACAACTGCTTCTAACCTAGGTCAGTCTAAAATTGATGATGAACCATTATCAAATACCGTAGTAACATACTAGTTCATCTTTGAAACGTCTGACTAACTTCCTGCATCTACCGAGTGGCAGGATGCGTGCCATAGACGTCTCACTATGATCATATTGCAGCATGTCGACATTGTCTTACTCAAGGAAGACAAAAGCCTCATAGATCACACATCTCAGTCTCCGGTTGCGTCAGGCCACGAGATCCAACGAACTGCATTACATTAGTTCACTACTCTCGATTAGTTCTGTGGTGTCTGTCCGGGAAATTTCATACGTTTTGTTTGGTATATAATTGCATTGGTACACCAATGTCGGTAGACTGGATCTCCAATTGGTCTGTGCATGATCAATCTGTTATTACTCCCACATTGCTAAAAACGTTCGATTTCCCAATGTGTGATGAGCTTTTCTGTTGCAATTAGAACAACTGAAAGCAGTTTGTTAATTTACCTATTTTGATCTTTACTACATGTTTCATGGTCGATTGTGTAAGAAATAGACTCATTCTGCAACTGTGTGGTTCTCATTGTATCATTGGGAGTAGTCCACATGTGCCGTATCACATTATTTCACTTGTATGAGGACTTACGTCATTGTCGTCCCATTCTCACAGTTCTCTGTATTTCTGTCACAATTTGCTCAAGTTGTGAACTACTGGTCAGCTCTCCAGCTAGAGTGAATGACTTTAATTCACGTTCTCGTTGTTCCCACTTAAGTCATCACATCTTCTTCGGGCACAGATTGTAACAAGACTGTTGGGTGGGTTTCGGTAGTCATCAAACTGATGTGCATTCTGCTCTTATCTCTGTCATTACGATGGGTCAAGAAAATACGTAGCGAAGGAGTAGAATAATCAGAACAGACTCACTACACTGGACCCAAACTATTGGGTAAAATGAAACCAACATGTTGATTGGTTAACTGCCTGTCAATGCTCGCTGTTTTTCTTTAGCGCGCAGTCGTTGCGTGCTGTCGATGTGTGAGTGGAAATGCGCCCTCGGGGTCACCTTCAGTTCGTTCAAGTGAATTTGGGTTTCAGATGGACTAGGTTGCACTTGATATGAATGTGACCATAAATGTCAACTACGAGGCACGTGTGTCTGATTGCCAGACACTATTTTTTTTTTAATTCAGATGGTCGCTTACGATCGATGAGCCTCAACAAGGATACAAGCTGTTTCGACCGCCCATCTGTATATTCTAGCTAGCTCTACTGACTGTCACACACCAGTGGGCGCTGCACTGCCGAGGACATCTGAAGGAACGTATGTATGTTTGCTGGTGGATAGACGAAACAGCATTGTTTCGTCACCACCGTAAGACAACTTATGGGCTCGAGGTAGCTCAGTGTTTAAAGCGCCAGCTTACGGATCGGAAGGTTTGTGGTTGAAGCCCAACCTCGGCATTTCGACTGCTTCTATATAGGCTTTGACCACCCGGGAGTATCCCAGCCCTTGTGCCTCCCGTTGACATAGCACCTACACACCGAAAGGGTGCTACGGCTGAACGATTTGATTTGAATGCAACTAAGTAACTGATTCAGCTTTTTAGTGACTCGTCCACAGGCGTTAGTTCCTGCATTTCGACAGCGCTTGGTCACTTGAACCCCGGCTTATCCTGACGGCAAACGAATTCTCTTTGTGCCTGTTTACATGATAGGGTGTTTTAGGCGGTACATACGCAAATTCGTTTATAAATAAAGGCCAATAAAGGTTCCATTCTCGTCTATGAATAACGTCACATGAGCGCGAAAACCGTCTACTTTTGCGGTTTGATGTGCTGATAGGCAGCACATAAAACCTACGCATGTCTTTCTCCAACCCTTGCTTTCGAGATTTGTGATTTGTGGACATGCTTTATCCGCTTACGGTTCGTTCGATTTTTGGAGACAGTTATTCTACCTCACCTTCCAACTGTATTATGGTCTTGAGGAGACCACGAAGGTGGATTACTGTGTTGAAACAATCTGTTGGTGGTGATCAGTGAGTATGCATGCTCCGCTGTTACACATCCGTTTTCGATTCCTCATTTTGCGAGATATTTACTGCGTTGAGTGAATTAACTATGATTCGCACTATCAGTATCGTCTTTCCGACAATTTAAAGGCTTGAGTAGTTGCGCTTCTGAAGAGAATATGGTTCATGTGTGGTACGTGACGCGTTCGTAAACCCCTTTGTTTAATATACTTGATCTCACCAGACTACGCTCATTTGCACACCAATTTGGTTTTAACGGAGACTCGACTGATTCCCAGCTGAATCTCTCGTTTATGACACTCTTCGACTGAATATGCTGCACAAGGCTGCCGTATGTTTCAGTTGGTACGGTATTCGATATGAATCGACACTACTCACCAGGGTGCTGAGAACTTTTCAACGGCTCACAATCGGTTTCGCCCCTCTTGGGGCTCATCAGGTAGGCACAGTCCCCGAGTTTCAGTCAACCCAACTTTTACAGAAATCTCGAAGTATGCTCTTGCGCACCTCAGTCTTATTTTAACGGGGCGCTTAACTGAATGCCAGCGAATGACCCTACAAGCTTGTGAGCAGTATTCTTCCAAGAACTGATTGATATCGTTTTCTAGGGTTATGGAGTGCTGTCACCCTTATCCTATCGACCGCAATAGGTCGGGGTCAATAGCCGAAGCAGAGCACGGATCCTTTGACGGCCTCACGTAGCGCAAGCGTTTCCTCAATATTTTATATTTTTACAGTTATTCACAGACTCAGTTGGTGCAGACAGTTGGTAGCCAGGAATGCAGCCACGCGCTGTTTCCGAGCCTCTATTTTGCAGCCATTGGTAGCCATTGCCGCTTCAGTCATTTAAGTTAGAACACTGCAGTTGACCGACGGATACGTTGTCAACAATACCCTCATCTGTATTGCACTTTTCTGTTATTCATTGGACGATTCGTCTAAAAGCTATGTTCAGGTCCGGTTGACACGCCTCCACAAACTGGACTATTTAGCATGACGTCTCAGTCAGAATGTACTTTTTCTGATGTTGCTTTACTACGGGGAGCTCTAAGAATAATTATCGATATGATCCGCTTTGAGTTCAGAAGAGCCCTGCTTCTGGAGCAAGCTGTCCGAACGAGTTCGTTTGTGATATCCGGATTGCCCATGCTTAGTGGCAATGTTAATTTGTGTAGTCGATTTCTTGCAAGTCTCTTATTCAATCTCGTTCAGCCCAATTGCAATCGCATATTCAGCTTGATTGCTCGTAATATCATACCTATGAAAGTTGATTGAAATTGTGGCTACTCTGAACATCTGCAGCTCAGCATGTGGCTTGAACATCCTGTTTAACATTGTGCCTCAAAGTCGCCTGATTTTCTTGTTGTTGCATTTTCTTTCGTATCTGCACAGTCCGATCACTTCCAACCTGATACTTTGCATTGCTGTTTTCATTGGTTACCATAGTGGAAGCCTATTTTTTTACCTTCTTTTTTTTGCATTTTTTTATAGTATCCGGATGATCTGATGAATTTCACCTACAGCCCTGACTTCGCCATTCGTGGTCTACATTATGACGTGAAAAAAGTACGTCTCGTTTTTCCTCGATCATTGTATTTATCTTGGGAGAATATAGCACAGGTGATTCGTTACTAGTGAACAACTGTATGTTTTTATCCGGTAGAACTTCTCTTTTTTGCTCTTTTGTTTATCCGTTTTGTATCTGACTTAAAGGTCATTATTCTTCCATGGTGCTTTGTTTGCGGTATTGTCTCAAGCAGTAGTATCTTTCAGACTGGTGAACAGTTTGTCCACCGTATAGAGACTTACCAGCGTGTTTTGGCACGGATCACAACTGTTCAACTATCTGACTTTGGTGGAGACTGATTCAGTATGGGAAAACCGTTTAGGTCGGATTGATAGGGCGATTTTCGAATACTAAACGGTGGAAAAGCTTCGAATGGAGACATCATTAGTGGCGAATTCTAGCAAATTACAGGTTGTCTCTTTTTCCTGAATAATGCATGGCGTTTTCGAAGACTGGAGGTCAAACAGCGTCCCTGTGGCAACTTCAGATGTGCTATTAGTCCGGTTTTCCATTTTCGATAAGACAGCCTGGTAATCTGTGGAGTCGATCACAATATTATCAGTCCATCTACTTTATCTAACTGAACAGGTAGACCACCAGTGTTTGTGAATATCTGCAGTTCGGCTTATACTATGTACACCCACAACTTCTTACTTACACTTTTCCAGGGCTATTTGATGAAGGTGGATGCCTATCATCACATCCAACTGGATACGGTCTATCGTGGCTTCACGCCGGTATCTTGTGAGGAGACCCTCGAGGTGTACAATGGAAGTCATTTGCCCAGCGATATTTTAAAGCAAAATACCCTTACTAGTTCTGCCCTCGCAATGCGCAGCTCATCCAAGGTCAGTGTTGTCTCTACCTGATACTGTGGTTTCCTAGTCAGTGCTTTCTATTGCCCCAGGTAACATATCACTCCCGTACGTCTTCTTCCAGGTCATGGAGGAGAGGTTTTGAAATCGGTAATGTACTGCATTTTGTAAATACTGGGCAGTTTTCGAAGTATTCCTTCTTGGTTACCTCTTGTAGGACAGTGTAGGCGTGTTCTCAGACTCCCGTCAGGACTGTCCAGCTTTCCAACCCTTGTTCGGAATCTGCAACAATGTGACTGTTATCAACATCTAGTGAGATCTGAACCCGAAAGACTTCGAAGTTATCAATGCAACAACAATTTGTTTCACGTGCACTTACTCTTACAGTCCCAAGCATGTGATCTACATTCGACCGGTGCCTCAAGCGTATTAGTGCCCTTGATTGGATAAAAATACTATTTGGATTAACCTTACAGACGACAGACACTACCCGATTGTCGGTATAGAATCACGTGAACACCGCTAGATAGCGATCAGCTTAGGATTATTCTTCCTTCGATGCAATGGAACTAATGCAGGGCCAGATGGCGTAACGCGAACAAATGTGGTTGTTCCTGAGTCTCTTTAATTCATAATAAATAATAGATTCTCTGGTCTTTCGTGTCATGCACAGTTTGTGATTGCGATCAGTACGTCGCTAGTCTGGGTGAGACGTCCCTTGCAGTGGGTTCATACCGGTTTCAACCGGGTTTATGATACGGTTCACGCCGTGCTGCTGGGGACGATTTTGTAAGTTCAGGTATTGTGCAGCGTCCACTGAGCTAGACAGCTTAGTTGCAAACGTTTCATCACCAATCTAGGTGGCTTGATCATTACTCCAGTTGTTGTGCCGTAGGTAGCAGCATGTGTGTGTGTTGATGTGCTTGCTTCTAGCCTGGGCGGTTCGACGGTCGTGGTGTTGGACATTTCGGTCTGCGTCCTCATTAATCGATGTCCATGTATTTGAAATAGGACTCTCCTACTCCAGCCTGTTGGTCAGTGTTCGAGTGAGCTCTCGCCTTGGCGTCTGAATTTCCCGTCTTGAAATACGTTGATCATTCCAATTTTCAGTTTCGTTCGGACGATCCTTTGCGTGTACTGGTGCATGGAAAGGGTTCCGTTTGGACTTGCTGATTAACCGAATTTGTCATAAACTACCAGTGGTTTCCATCCTGTGTCTCCTTCTTCCAAAATTTATATCTCCCCAAAACTGGATTTGTGCCCTTGGTCTTAATCAAGGATACAGAATTATATTCTGATGGCTGTGTTACATTCTTTTGTTTACATACATTGCCCTCTCACTTTCTCCACCATGGTACTTGTTACAGACGCTTTAGTTTATCTGACGTGCTACACTATTTCTATTGTTTTGTTGTCGTCGCCCAATCATCGCTGTTCTCTTTTGTTTCGGAAACTACTTCCGTCATAACCAAACCATTCTATGTGGAAGAGAAATAATATACTAGCAGATTGAGTTACGATTGAATGTGCGTTCAGTACTAACCAGTTTGCGACCGTTCTCCTTTCATGTTATGTTTCATTTCCGATAACCACTAACGATGGTCCCTTTGGTTTGAACCAGTTCATTTGACGCTACGTACCGTCCTTGGCGAATTTTTGTCGTACTACATTGGTTCGAGGAATCAGGCTTTCTGCCGCGCGCTGTGGGGACAGAAGAACTCAGCGCGATCTGTTCAAACAGTTCATTGCAAGAAAACGTGAGATTGAAATGGGCGGTGGTCTCTTAAGTCAGGAGAATCGTTATAGTTGAATACCCAGAATGTGAAGGACACTGAACAAATCAAACCGAGCCTGAAAAGCGTTCTCTTAACTTGTCATTTAAGCAAGTCAATATAGAGCAGTCACTCAGAGGCAGTGGCTGTGTTCACAAAGATGAATGAAACGGTAACATCACACGCAATGGGGACAGCATTGGTTCACCAGAACACAGCTTGGTAGTAGCAGTAGTAGTGACTCAGAGCTCGACAATGAGCTGGCGATTGTAAAAAAAATCGGTCGTTTGGCGACTATCGTCAGCAAGGTAACGGTGTGGCTGTCTTCATTGAATCTATACCGACGATTTCTGAGGCACTGACAGCCTTGAAGGCTGAAGAGCAGCTGCCTGGCGACGTTAGATCACATAACTATTGATAAACCAGTAAGTAAGATGAGACGATGATGAGGATCAGTTGGGTCGCATCACTTTGCAAATGTGTGAAAGTGGAACTTAATCCTTGTAGAGAGTAAGGTTTGAAGGTGATAGTTGCAAGTTCAAGCGCAAGTCTTTAGAGCACTTAGAAAGATGTTATCAATCCCTGGGGGACTGCATACATTAGAGACCGCAAGGCTTAAACGTTTCAAACATCACGGGAGATTCAGCTGGGTTTCAGGTGAGTCTCTCGCCAAAACCAAGTTGGTGTGTAAATGAGTGTATTTCGCTAATGATGGGGAAACAGTTTGACTAGATATGGATGATGAAAACAGCTTGGAAAAGATCCAAAATTTTCTCTTAAGGGACGAATCTTGCCGCGCTATAATCATGATATCGACAAGGTACTTACGGATAACAGATTTGACGGTACCACAAACTGAGCTGATTACTGAAAAAATAAACAATAATTTGTCAGCCCTTCATTTGACAAAGTTTGTTTTAGCTTTACGCGGACATTCTTTACGGGACTAAGACGGCGAACAACGGTGATGCCAATGGTTTGACATAAGGTCGTTCTTCTTCAGAGCCTGCGGGAGACCATGATTGAGCCGTGTGGAATAAATATCTGATCGAGTTTGAACGGGCCTGGGATTGTCTTCATAAAAACCCCTCAGGTCATCAGAAACTACATAATTGTTGTTCATAGCACCGATGCAGCCACGACTAATTCCGAAATGTCCTGTGTGTGATGGACATCGATGGAACACTTGTTCAGCGGGGGGTGAAAAGCCAGATGGAAAAACGAATGAAACACGGTTTGGGGAAAATTTCGAGATCATCACAAGTCCAAGAACAGGGTTTTTTGGGGATACGTGGTTGGAACAGAATAAACCGAGGGAAAACATGGAGAACTGGAAGGGATTTGCTGCGCAACGCGTCAACACATTAAAGAATGAAACAAGTCTTTTTTGTGTGTAAACATTGGATTTGCCAGCGTTGCTGTTTTCAGCGATGGAATACGAACGTGGATTCGGTTGACTCACAAGTTGGCTTAGAGACCGGCACAGAGGGAACCGCTAGACAATTGGTGAACTTTGACCTCGTGGTCTGATGATCAAGACCATAACGATCAACTTAAACTCATTCGAGCAGCTGTCTACGGAGAACGAATGAACCTACTCACGGACACCGAAGAACGAAGTTGGATCCGGACGAGAGTTCCTTGTGAAATACAAAGCCTTGGGTTTCGATCGGAAAAAGGGCGCTTGGACTACGTGCCGACAGAAGGCGGTGCGCATTGTTGCCGTTGCAGTTAACCTCCTAGTCTTGGGAGAGTGATCCATTTGACTTCCTGTAGAGGGACTTGTGTGCGTCCTTTTGTTTGTAAAGACAACCTAGTTGTGGAATTTCCGAACAGTGAGTGATGGTACTTTCTTGGGTGGTTAGCACTTCACCAGAGGGCAATCTTGCAGGTCAAACATTTGCCATGCCAAAATCCGAAAAACATATACATACATCTGTCGCTCTATTTTCGCCATGTGATTTCATTTTAAACTTGTGAATTCCTTCTGTTTTGTGGGGAAGTCTGGTGAAACCTCGTTTTCAGTATCGATCTGAATGTCATGAGGTGGAATCCAGTCACCTTGTGGCTTAGAAATTTGTGCTATATCAGGTGCCAGAAGGAGCCGACGCTTCTTTTTGAAACGGATTGTCTATTCCGGACTGTTTTGATGGGCTTACATTCCAAAAAGTATGCGTTCTGTGTTTATCCTTTCGTTGTATGTATGGAGCTATTGTCCATCCATTCTGAGATAGTAAACCGGTACATCGTGTGCTGATTGCTCACTCCTCTGGGCGTGCGTGACCCAACACACCGATTGATACATCGATTGCGCAAGTGGAGGCATGCTTACCAGAATAAGCGAATGAAATGCCGAACAACCGCGTAAACCTGGTCAAACCACATGAAAGTAAACGGTTCTCCTGAATAGAATGAATTTAAGCTTGAAAAAGGAAATCGCCATTTACGAGAGAGCATATCCTGTAGGTTTCTTGCTATTAGTCTGCTGTGTCATCTAAACATAAGATTGCGTTGTTGAGGCAGTCGATCAAACGTCTGTTCAATTCAATGGTGACTGGGAAAGAATTGGTGGGAATGCGGGAAAGACCAATAGATTTACCCAGACCGGATGTTGCGCTATGTGTATTTCTGCAGCAAGCAAACAAAGGTGACTCCATTTTTTGACTGACTTCCGGAACACATGCACCCAGTACCCATAGTTTATGACGAACTGGGAAATCCGACCAACTCGTGCCACATCTTCGTTGATAACAATGATTAAACACTTCTTAACTACATAAGTTCCCTCCCGAAGGACATTTTGTTTCCATTACTCAGAACCCACTGCACATTCTCCTGGTCTTGTCATATAGAATTGGCAACACCTAACCTTGTTGACATTTGACTCGAGCAGAACGAATGTGTGTAGTATCAGGATGGTAGACAGCTCATTGTATTGCCCGGAGAGGCACCATCACCTAGCTTCTAGGAGGTTTATATGGTTCACATCTCCGAATGTCTCCGTCGAGTTGCTACTCCTACATCAAAAAGATAGTAGAATCCGTTTTGTAGTGAAAATCGCAGGGATGAATAAAAATTGCTTCTCGACACTGAGGTGCACTTACTCTCCTTGTTCTTTTAACAGGAAGCTTCTGACGCAGTTTCATATTCACGTAAAAATCTATTCTGCTCGTTCTGTGTATCTGCCCCTCATCCGACTGTTCAGTTGTCTATGCCTTCTTCCAGCGCAACTGTTTATCGGTGCTACAACTGCATGTGAGTGCCGAAAATCAGTGGAAGATGGTTGTTAATCCGAATAATAAAAATGTAGGATTGGAGCATTCCACATATGTTTGAGTTCAAAACCGTCGTTCACACAAAGTCTGGTAGTGAGATGAGATAGTTTTCTACTTGGTTCGGTTAAATAGCCAACTACTTGCGGATCAACCACAGGGCCCTGGTAGGCGTTTGTGGTTGAGCCTCAGAGTCCTTCCAACGACTCCATCAGGGATTGAGGTTACAAGCAATTAATATTCCCGAAGTCTCAACTTAGACGTTATGGTTGGCGACAGATGGATGTCGGATACTTTCTGGTCATTTGGCATGCTGACCTGTATGAAAATCGTCGCTTTTCACATTTTTTCAACTTAATGGTCTGTTCAAATGTGCGTCATTAATTAATTCTCAGCGGTGCTCTGTTACTCTCCGTGGACGTTTACACTGAAAACCACTGGCTACCCACCATCAGGCTCTGGTCTCGTCACTCGTTCTGGTTAGTAGGAGATGTCATTCCATATGTGTGGTACATCACAATATCTACCACGGTGAACCTTATGGTACACGGTTGTGGTCGGTATTTTGTTCTGCAGTTTAGTCATTTTTATCGTAAGATTTGAAACACTGAAAAAGCAAACAGGAGATGAAATAGACTTATGTAGCTCAATGAGCATTGGTTTTAAATGATGAGTTGTTCAGCTCCCTTCTGAAGGCCTTCAAGCAGTTTTGCAAGCCCTTTTGTTCATGTGTCGACGGTGTCGACTAAGCTCCTGAACGTGCCTTTCGGATGTTTACACTGCACATCTTGTGTGTATCGCGCGGATTTTCGCCTGGCGACAACTGGGGCCGGTGCGTTGTAAGACAATTTTCTGGCGCTTCTGTTGCAAGACGGGATCCTATTGCTGCTTTTCGCTGATGCACTGTTCGCTAGCTCTGGGCTAGCGAGTTACACGCTGTAGTGCAGCCAGAATAATGAGTGTATTGAATTCGCAAAATTCACTCATTTTCAAACTAATTTGGCTATAAAGTGAGACGCAGCTAAATCCAGGCTGATCTCCAATTCAATGTGTTTTACACAGGCCACATCATGTTTCACTTGATGTGAAATTGGATATATCCCTGTGTACGTTCCTGACGAATCACACCACTCCTGAGTATGTGGCACCCACAGTGAAGCTTCTTTCAAATTCACCTATGAAATTTCCATGATAATTTATACCAACTTCACAGCAGGATTTCAGTTTGTTCCCGACAATCCTTTTTAGGATTATGGCGGATATTTCCATTCAGTCTGTGTAAGAAGACACGGAATCATGTGACGGTGACCTTTTTGGGCTTGACTCTGTATCCTCCATAGATTCCCGCCTTTCCCCAGTTTTCATCCTAGTTGTATATTGACCATAACTCTCTAGATGTCTTCGATGATGCATTCCCATTTCTTTCTCCTTTTTCCATCAGCACCCTCTCATGTTCCAGCTAATGGACTTCTTCACGATACCAGAATTCTATCTACTTTCGTCCATTATCGAGGTAGGTAATTCTAAACATGCGTTTTCACATATTTGTCCCCTTGTCTTACCCAATCGCCCAATACACCGTATTAATCGTTCAGTTCCTGTGCCCTTTCGATGCGTAGTTGCTGTGCAATTCCCGGCTTTTTTCATATCGGTGTTGTCGCTAATTGATAAACCTGTACGTACCGTGATCACAGCGAATACACTAGAAAATGTGCACTTGAAGGCATGCGACATAGCGTATGGTACATAGAAAGTGAATGACACTATGTAAAGAAATTGGACCCATTCACCGTGGTGTAGATGTAATTACGTCGCGTGCGCCGTTGCCTAGCTAGAGTTCGCCTATCGTTGTGCGCGGGGCTTACGTCGGGCGAGATTCGCAAGGTACTCTGGGTCACTGCCGCTGATGGTGCCTTACTTCAGTAGGATACTCAGGTGTGTTTAGTCTAATTCTGCCCAAGCGTGTAGGCCCCATTCTTATTGATGGTTTTCCTTGAGGATATGGGGGTTTTTCGTACCCAGTACGTACCCTTCTCCTTCTGCTCCACTTTTTGCTAAGTCCCACAGAGACAATCCGTTGATGTTGAACCAAACCACTTCTTATTTACCTAACACTATTTTACATTCTTGACCTGTTTTGCGAATATGCAGGCATGCGGCCTGCTGTAATTACGGAATATCTCCTCTACAAATTATTCGTTTTGATTTCGTAAACGTTGCCTACCGTCAGCGGCAGCCCTCCTGTGACCTCACAATACTCAGCGTTCTTTTATTCACTCCCCCCTGATTGTTAGCATTGGATAAGGCATCACTGGGTAAGCTGGGATAATTTATGCATAAAAGGCGTTGGTTCAGCGCGCTGGTTTGCAATGATACTTATTTCAAGCTCCTTATTTCATCTGGCTGCATGTTTTCCAATGCTGTTACGAGTGCTACATCTACAGGTGTATGTTTTGCGTTGACGATTGATGAAAGTAAAAGAACTGTTGAGATCTCATCTCGGACTGTGTTCTCAGGTTCCGAATGAAATGCATTGAGGACACCAGATACTTCAACTATTCCCACATGACTTGACGGTTAAAAGTCATCAGTTGGGTATATTGAAGGTTTCAAAACTGCTCCCCTTTTCCCCTCCGTTCTTATTACCTCGCGTGTAGCCCGCGTAAACGCCGTTCAGTTGGCTGCACACACACGGCCACATGTCGCATTATCTATCGTGCGCAAGTATGCAGTTCGATCGGAAAGACACATCCGGAGGCACGTACCAGCCCATGTTTAATATGCGGTCACGTATTTTCTATATATGCCCATTCATAGTGGTCACATTCGCAATGCATCACCCATCCTCAAAGCTTGTGCACATATTCTCGGTGGGCCGTTAGCTCGGGCATCGTAACAAACCCGTTTAGTGTCAGATTAATGGAATGCATCAAGGGAAAGCTTTTCCCATTGAGCCACCCACTTGTGAACTACACAACTGCTTTACTTGTGTGTTAACACATGGCACCCTTTTTGCTCACAGCCCAAAAGTATCAAGCATAAGCAAGACCATTCTCACTGGTGCAAATCTTGATACAAAAATGGATGCGCAGTGTTTTAACTACGCAGTATACGGCAATTTGATCATAGGGAGATCTATAACGGATGAGCAGAAACATGTTGAACTTCAGGAAAACCAGTAGGCGAGTGGCTGAGTTGCATTTCAACCGATTCATAGTTTCTTGATACCTATCACAGGAAAATGCGAAGCTTCTTCGGGAAACACTAATTTGGTTCGAACGGGGACTGTGCTTCTCTTATAAGTCCCAAGAAAGGAGAAACCAGTCATGGGCAAATTTATTAGTACGGTGCCACGTTCATCCAGTGTTTCTTCTTTTGAGATCACCACCTTTCATCCATTCAACTGATACAGCGAGAAGATGGAGGCACATAACGTCAACACTTTATTTTCATCCCTTCAGCTGCAGGACTAAGAACACTCATGATACATCGTGTTTTCCTACTTAGGATTTAAACTTCTACCTAATTACCGCAATAAAGTGTTGAGATCCCGCAGTCTTTGTCCCCTTCCGTGTGTGTATTCCTTTCTCCTGGATCACAGGTTGCGTCACGCGAGACGCCATAGATCATGGTTTCGCCATTGTGTCCAATCTTACTGCTTCATCATCGTCATCGATAGCAGTACATCAGCAATCAGTAGTGGCGTACATACGTGAGGAAGCAATACTTTAGTTATGAGTATAAAGAGAGGGGGAAAATGGGGCCTTTGTTACAGAGCCCTTCCTCCTTTCGGAAATCGATAAAATGTAAAGCACACTCACTTCGGAGGAACAGTTGGATAAATACATATCACCGTCACGTCAGAGTAGCAGTGGGACTGACCCAGCCAACAAGAACATGAGATACAACGACAGGCAAACCTCAGCTAGGCAGTGCAACTAGAAAGTGATTGGAATCAGTTAAAGTCCGTGTCCCGTGGAGTTTCTAATCTGCGAAAATGATCACATGTACCCCAACGAATCCCAGAGATGTAGTAGTTGTCGTTTCGCGCGTCCGTGTCTTTTTTCCTCTGATCTTTATCTAGTATGACTTCGAAGACGATGGTTGGTTACATATGATACACGTCTGAATAACCTTAGTCCGGTGGGCCTTATTTATTGCTCTAGTGATTCTAATTCGCTACCAAGCGCTCATTTATGCAGTGCATGCTTGTGTGCGTCCTTTGGGGTATCGGCTACTGTTACGAATGCAGCCGCGCTCTGAGCTTTGAGGTTTTTGGGGCTTCATATCGGAGGGGCCACGACCATAAAGCAAGACTTCTACCATACCTATCTTACGAAGCTTCAATAAACCTCGTTTTTGACGCCACAAATGACGCGACTTAGCAAATCTTTAGTGTCAGAAAAGCTAACAGCCATGTGCAACATGGTTGACAGTTTTGCATCGGGTGCTACTTTTGTATAAAGATACTCTGGCTGGTTGACCTTATTTGTGTACAGCCTGTTGGTTCAGAACCTCTTTTCAAATAAGTTATAGCAGTTCAGTCAAAGCATAAAACAGAGATAATGCTGATGGACGCTCATTTGACCTAGCGTTTAACACTATAATCTGGGAGATTCTAAGCTGGTAGACCGCGGTTCAGTTTGAGTGGACCTAATGAGAGACATAGGTACACGGGCGTCTTGGTTCTTCTCACCTTATTGTAGACAATGTCCCATTAAGTGCCATGACTTGTGGAAATACTATTAATTGGTGTATTTCAAAGTGACCATTCTTCCTTTCACAGTGCGCATTCTTCAGTGAGCTCCCATTGCTGTTTGTTTGCTTTCGGTTCCATCGATCTGTGCAACTATTGTATTCCCTCTGTGTTTAGAGTCGCGTAAATGTCATCTTCTTTCTTTATCCAGCTTTTCGAACGGCAGAAGATTAAGTATCAGCCCATCAACGTTTACCAGGACGTTTCGGTACGTTTGTCCATAAATGCAAGTCTGTCCGGTTGCGTGATCTGTTGTAGTTTGCGGTTGTTCGGTTTGTGGTTATTTTCACATATTTTCCCGGTTTTATTGCCTCCACAGCTGACGGACTATTTTACGGACATTAGCGAAATACACTCGTTTGCCAAAAAATGGGTTTTGCAAGAGACTCACCTGGAACCCAGCTGGATCTCTCGTTTATGATGTTTCTAAACAACAATGTACTGCACCAGGCCGCCCGATCTTTCAGTTGCTACGATATTCGAGGTATCGCGATACATGTATAGACATAATGCTTAGAAACATAAATGAGATTCAGCTTGGTCTCTCGCAAAGCCACATTTGTGTGCAAATGAGTGTATTTCGCTAATTTCGTGCAATTTGGTTTCAAGTAGAACATAAGGTCGACGGAAACTCGGGAACTGCGCTTACCTGATAAGCGCTAAGAAGTGCGAAACCGATTGTGGGCTGTATTAGAGTTTTCAGCAACTTTATGAGTTGTGTATTACATCTATTTCACGGACACTTGAATCACGTGATCTCCAAGTGCGGAGGAGGGGCTGAAGAAACGCTCTATGTAAGATGATGCTACTGATGAGTAGGTGTGTATAGTAGAACCTTATTTCTTGAATGGGAGCCCAAGTGCACTCTGCAAACAAAGACGCATATGTACATCTGTGCCAAGTAGAGCAATAATTTGAAGTTGTGGAAACTCATACAGTCGATATGCAGCACAGAATAAATAAGATGAAGACCCCTTGATGTTTAGAAGACGATAGTACTTGTTTCCGCGTCCAGGCATCAAGTCAAGTGCTCTCTTTGCAGATGTTTCCGTTAGTAGCTGTAGGCAGCCAGTCTTCGGCAGCCCATTCTGAGAATCGAATTCAAGGAAACTAACCAGCCTGACACCTTGGGATGACATACTCTTCCTCTAGCTTCGTTCTGGCTCCTCCTACATCTTCATTTGTACTTACCGTTTTCCATCAGTCCGATCGCCTTGGTTGTGTTGTTTTCGCACATGGTATCGAAGCAATGTTTGAAAGCAATGGTTTGAAACAATCAACTTGCTGCATGTAGCCTTCCGTTCGCGTAACGCAATCGCCTCGTCAAAGATTGTGCACCAACAACTTAGCCACTATTATGCACATCAAGACTGGCAGTACTTTCGTGTGAATGTTTGAAACGAGGTCCCGGTAGAAATTTTTACCGCACACTTTTACTGATGAAATGCTGCGACCCTGCCACAAGTAGGGAATTCGTACCTGAATTTACTGCTACAGTGATATAACAGTCCAGCTTAAGAAGCAACGCCCTCCGGGGTTGCTTGGTTTTTCGCTTCATCCTCTTGAAGGAGATACTGAAGTTTATGGGACCTCAAGTTGGACTGTCTTTTCAGCAGTCAGCCAAACGATGGAATACCATCCTTAACAGTAACCAGTAATTACTGATTGCTGGCCTTTGATTGCGTCTCAAAAAACCAGCTTCCATAAATCCGCCACAATATTAGCCGTCTACGCGACTGAACCCTGAGGCATCCTCATCGCTGCGTGTTCCGTTGAAACACATCACAAACTGGTCGTCGGGTTGTTCGCTCAGCTTGACAATTCGATTACAAGCGTTTCATCACCAATCGAGGTGACATCATCAGTGTGTTGTTCGGGAGCGTGGTGGTTCCTAGCGATGGGTTGGTGGTTGTTCACAATCAATGCAAACATCTTCCAGTGGATCACTGCCATGTCACACGGGCCGTCCATCAGGGAAGTGCACACGACGTTGCGAAACGGATGAACGCAACTCAACATTCTAGAGTGTACATTCGGCCGTTGTTTGTCAGGGCTTATTGTTGACAATAATAGGGCCCAGTAACATTAGTGGGAGCTATCGCTTCAGACAAAGTGGCTTCGCTTGTACTAAGGTCTGTAGTTTCTGGTACAAATCTCCTGTATGGCACTGCCAGAGCTGACCGTCATTAAGAGGATTGAAAACGTCTTGCTTTCGGAAGTAGTTTCAAATTGATTCAAATGTGCAATCCACCTTCCTTTGTACACCAGCGGTTGAGCAGCGTGTTTTTCGGTGAACGGTGGATCAATGGCTGCATTTTCCTGGATGCCTCATGGGTGAAAATCTAGAGGCTTTGTTGCGCTTCTCTGCTTAACAAAGGATACGTTTTCGACCGTTAATGCTACGAATGGTTGCGCTTTCTTGTGTAATACTGAACTAAAGATGGTCTATATCCGGTGTCGGTGTCTTGTAATTATCATTCCAATTATTCGAATTATTCGAAATACACAGTAGCGCGAAAGTGCACCAAATTTCAAAAACACCGTAATACTCAACTCCATCCCCTGACTCTACTTGTTTCCTGGCGACTTTAGTTGCCGAAATGAAACCGGTCTGTACCACGGTCATGAAACCGTTGCCCCTTTGAATCACTTTCGTATATCAACTGGTTAGTCCATTGATCTTGAGGTGAATCACTGTCGGGTAGACATCTAGACATGTCTCTCCCCTGTTTTTGTTTTCAGTCTTCCGTTTCTCGAGTCCACAAATCCGGCCTACTTGGTTTGAATATTATGGCCAATCCAGGTGAGCGCTAATTTCCTCTTCGTTCATTTGGCTGACAGAGCGACACATTTATCGTGACCCCCATTTGGCGGCCTTTCTTAACAAACTGGTTACGGACGGGAGGAAATTGTTCCTCATTTCAAACAGTTCTGCAGCTTTCATGTGAGTACATTTCCTTTTCCTCTGTTGCTGTTCTCTTGTGTGTGATTGTCAGTTAAGCAGTTCTTGCATCTGTGTAATTCCTATGTGACATTCCTTTCCCATCCTTTTCTCAATTCAGTGATCGCGGAATGCGGTTCCTAATCGGGGAGGATTGGCGAGAATTGTTCGATGTGATTATCTCGCGGGCCAACAAGCCGTTGTTTTTTCAACAAAGTGCGAAGTAAGCTGTCTAACGTGTTTCCGATAGTAGGTACTTGTTAGATTTAGATGTGCTGAAAGCCATTCTGCCTGTGCATCCGCCTGCAAACACACATTGAAACGCAGCAAGGTTGATGCATCTGTCCGGGAAGTGTGTACATTTTCCCCAACAGGATACACGCAGTCGTTAATATGTGGATGCACGCTACACCTGATTCGCTTGTTTTTCGCCTTTAGTACATACTAACGGAGCAAGCATGTTTTGTTATCTGACGCATACCCGTAACCCTTTCGTTTTTTATTCTTCTTAGTATCGCGTTTGCTAATCCAAGGCGGGGAACGACCCTCGAAAAGTTATAATCACGTATGTACGGAATCACACTTGCCCGTATTACTAATTACTTGGGTTACTAGTGTAACGGCGGACGCTACTGATGAGCATGCGAGTAGTCTTCTCGTAGCTCCGCTTCGCGTCTATTGGAAAGTGGGGATTATTACGAAATTTGTGGAGCTGCTTTGCAGCATTCGTTTACAATTGTGTGATGGCCGATGTTTATCTAGGAGGGTTCAAGAAGAAGACGGATATTCAGTCTCTTTAAAAAAAGATGAGAGGTTAACTTTCCTGTCCGATATTTATTTGGTGTTTCCTAATAAACAACCCCGCGGCAAAGGCTTTCCTCCTTTCGTTTGGTGCCGTGACCAAGATACGAATGAAGATCCCGTGGCCACTATCTTTTGAGGATGGGGATGTGCGAACTTTTTTGGAGGATTTCGAGGAGTTTGCGGAGGCGGCTGGACTGGAGACTGACCAGAGTAAGTTGGCGGCACTGAAGAATCTCAGGGGCCGGGCGAAGGCGGCCCTGGACGTGGCCAGAAGGGGCCCTCGAAAGATGGACTGGGCCGCCGCGAAGGAAGCTCTTGCATCGGAGCTCGACACAGTTACAAACTATCGGACAGGAAAGTTAACCTCTCATCTGCACCTTTTTTTTAAAGAAAACTAAAAATCTGTCTTCTTCTTGAACTCTCTTGGATATTCATTGACTATGACGCAATTGTAACCGAATGCTGCAAAGCAGTTCCACAAATTTCGTAATAAACCCCACCTCCAATAAACGCGAAGGGGAGCTACGAGGAAACAGACTACTCGCACGCCTCATCAGTAGTATCCGCCGTTACACCAATAGTCCCATCATGAGACGCTACCGTGAGTCGTTTTCAGCAGAGAACACTATTGAATGGGGCCACGATCTCTATATCCCCATGATGTGGTACGTTGTACCCATTCTGGAGAGTGTGCCCACGCTATCTGGAATGTTTGTTAGGTGTTATCTGAGGACCATCTCAATTTCGGAAAGAGAAATCTAGTAGAATCAAAGAGCATGGAAATCAAGTGTGCTAATGATGTTTCGCCTCATACACAGAAAAGAATCCAGTTTTTGATGGAACGATCTTAGGTAACTAACTAACATGCACGCAGAACCAGCGTCTTGACTGTTGGTAAATGTTTTCAATAACAGTTCCCTTGACCATTTGTCTTCCATTCAACCTACTCAGTTCGAGTCATGGTCTGTCATTTTCTGACATATTGGTGCGTCATTTTGCCACCAAATCACATTCGGATAATCCCTCACCAACATGATTGAAGGATGGTTCTAATTATCCTGTGTTAACGGGGTTTTACCTAACTTGAGGGCAAGTATGCTTTGAAAAGATTTATATGAGACAGATGTTCCATAGGCCTTCAAGCCCCATTCTAGTCGTAATATTGTTATTGACTCTAACTATGCTGCAGCTTGGCGAAAGGTTTGGGAAGGCAAGTGATGACATTACAACATGATCGCTCTGAAACTGAGCGCCTTCCAGACTGGAATCCGCATGTTTTTTTGGACACCTCACAGAGCATGGTTGGTAATCGATTCCGGCGATGGGCGTGCTGTTGGGCTTTAGCCAGATAGTCTAAGCTAAAGTTTGTCGTTCTTTTTGTGCAGGACTTGTGCCAGATGGTCTCTGCAAAAGACTTTGGGTCGATCTCGCTGACTGCAGCATATTTTGGCGTAACCAGTAACCGGAGCACTTAAATGATATTTTCGCCGTCTGATCTGGAATTTCTTTTCACACCTGGTGGATTTCGCAATAACATAAGGTTGACGGAAACTCGGGAATTGCGCCTGCGTGATGGGCCCCAAGAAGAGCGCAACCGGATGTAGGCTGTCGAAGAGCCCTCGGTAAATTATTACGTACATACAACGTATCGTGATATCTCTAAAATCTTACTAACTGAAACGTGAGGCGAACTGGCGCAGCACATCCAGTTGCTTAAAAACATCATAAACGAGAGACTCAACTTGGTTCCATTTTCGTGTTGTTATCTACATCCAATGAATCGAAGTCATATGGTCGTGTGTAGAATATACAGGTTGTCGACTGGTGGTCTAAGAGCTCAACCCTCCCACCGATTGGACGCATGGATTATGGTCACCGAATGAAGAACACATCTGACTCATCATCTCGCGTGAAGACAACATTTTCTTCACATTCCCTTCAAAACTCATTCTTATTAATTCTGTATCTCACGACCGTCCGGACAGGCTTGTTTTATCCTGCCTAGGACAGCTGACACTTCGGTGTGATTGTGCTTCATACTGGCTTCTTTAGTTGAATGTGAATACGCTGCGGGAAGGGAGGTATCTCACCTTGGTTTTTTTTTGTTCCACATCCTAAGAGCCAAGCAATGAACCATGGAAAAAACCGCGCGATTGGCTTCTATGCTTTGGAGGTGGTTGTTTCATCTTCCAGGCAACTGAATGTGCTGCACCAGGCTGCCTCGTGTTTCAGTCGCTAGGATATTCGAGATATCGCGATACGTGTATATTCGTAGTGCACTACTCATAAGGTGGTCTGTTGACTCTTTCCTGTATGTTTGCGTTTGTTTGGAACCAAACGATTTAGTGTGTGCTTTATTCCCGGGTTGGCAGCTACTATACGAAACTAGCCGTTGCAGTTTCCAAAAAAATGCAGCCGTAACACCTCTGTGAAATACTAACGGTATTTTGCGTTTTTGGTTTCGCCAAATGAAACGAAGAGGAGGAAAAGGCGCAAGTATTCTTGGATGAACTGATCAAAGTCATCCCGTCCTTTGGTATGCACTTTGCACCCACAAAGTGTAAGGTCATGCTTGTGGACGTGCAGTCACTGAACACGCCATTTACGATCCATGGAGAGGCACTGGAAGTTGTGGAGCGTTTTACGTATCTTGGAAGTTGTATTAGTTCTGATTGTAGTGTAACAGATGAGGTGAATGCACGAATCTGCAAGGCTCGGGCCGCGTTTGCTAACTTGAGACACCTATGGCGTCAGGGTGGTTTATCCCTGAATCTGAAGGGACGTATGTATCAAGTAGGTACAGGTACGGGTTGTTTTGTTGTATGGCTGTGAGACTTGGCCTATTCGAGCAGCGGACCTGAGACGTCTTCAGGTGTTCGACAATCGTTGTCTCAGAACCATAGCTCGTGTGGGTTGGTGTCGGCGAATCCGTAACGAGGCAGTTAGAAAGCGTGTTTTCGGTTGT